AACACACTGTTTTCAGAATATCACAGGCATATATAGATAAAAACAATAAAATAAATACCAGCAGGCTATTTCGCTATTTATTTAAACAAATTGAATTTAATCATATAATTAGGATGTAATTTAAAAAAAAATTTAGACCTAAAAATTCTCACTGCCGTCAGTCTGTGTCAGTCTTTAATCCCAAAAACAAACGAATATAAAAAGATTAGAAACACGAGAAGCCGATTAACTGTGTACGAACTTTTGGTGAAGATCGAAAGTCACGTTATTTCAATTAAAATCTTTTTTTCCGAAAACAGTTAATAAATGACCGGCACAACTCCATTCTCAAAGGAAAAGTATAATATACAAAGGCAAGCAACTATTAATTTGAGATAAAGAGCATATATTTTAAATTAAATACATAAAAATGTGATTGAAATTGGATCTTGGCATTGTGACGATGCCATAATAAATAATTGCTCGTTTCATTAAAATCTAAATCATATAAATTAGACTTTTCTCTGTTGTAAGATTCTGATCAATTGAATTGACAGTTTAAAATCTGTCAACTCAATTAAATGTAATTGATATTATTAAATTCTATTTAAATCTTATTCATTTTACAAAACGTATTTGCAAAGTTTTTCAAATATTATAATTTCATTTATATAAATATGAATTTATTGCTTACGAATTATTCTTATCACTACAAATAAACTTTCATAGTATTAAAAGTATTAAATCTTTTACCTCTTTCGATTTTATAACCAGAATGCCTCCAAACAAAGGATCCGTTTGTGTCGTTTGTGGAAATTGGTTCTTTTTTAATATTCATCTGAAATAAAAAAAGATTACGTTATATTATTTGACAGATTGATCTTTATAGACAGACAAATGAAAAAATTATTTAAACTGAAGCATAAAAATATGCTTACTAAATATTTTTTAAAAAATATAACTTACTATCTACTTTTTATAATAGTGTCTATCATCTAACACCTTTCAGAGAAAAATTTTGAATTCAAACAACGTAACTTCTGATTTGCAGCATATATACCTATACAGTTTATCGGAGCCTCTTGCCCTATTAAATGAATCTGATATTATTTCAATATGTAAAGAATAGTTTATTAAGAATCAAGCTGCAATTTGATAAATTCTCACTTTCCTCAGTCTGTACGAGTGTTTGACCAAGGCCACTTGATCGCTTCGCTAGTACTAGCGAAGCGATCAAGTGGCCTTGGTCAAACACTCGTACAGACTGAGGAAAGTGAGAATTTATCAAATTGCAGCTTGATTCTTAATAAACTATTCTTTACATATTGAAATAATATCAGATTCATTTAATAGGGCAAGAGGCTCCGATAAACTGTATAGGTATATATGCTGCAAATCAGAAGTTACGTTGTTTGAATTCAAAATTTTTCTCTGAAAGGTGTTAGATGATAGACACTATTATAAAAAGTAGATAGTAAGTTATATTTTTTAAAAAATATTTAGTAAGCATATTTTTATGCTTCAGTTTAAATAATTTTTTCATTTGTCTGTCTATAAAGATCAATCTGTCAAATAATATAACGTAATCTTTTTTTATTTCAGATGAATATTAAAAAAGAACCAATTTCCACAAACGACACAAACGGATCCTTTGTTTGGAGGCATTCTGGTTATAAAATCGAAAGAGGTAAAAGATTTAATACTTTTAATACTATGAAAGTTTATTTGTAGTGATAAGAATAATTCGTAAGCAATAAATTCATATTTATATAAATGAAATTATAATATTTGAAAAACTTTGCAAATACGTTTTGTATAATGAATAAGATTTAAATAGAATTTAATACAGTAGAACTTCAAAAACACGGCTCTCGATAACTCGGCACTCCGGATAACTCGGCCACACCCTGGCAGGGCAAAAAAATCCTTACTTAATTAATTTTCATTATAGACAGCTTTATGTTTCATAAAGTTTTTTTCTGAGGTCTGTCTTATCAGGTAAATTACTGTACACAGTGTATTCATTAATTTTCATTTTAATGTAGTAAAGGCTGTATGCCTTCATAAAGGACGTAATTTCCTTTGTTTAAGGGTATTTGGGCAGTTTATTCTCTGTTATATTCTCAAGTAAACAATACATACAAGTACAGTACAGTATTTTCTGAGGAAACACTCGTACTTATTTTTTTTTAACCCCATTCCCGATAACCCGGCATTTTCACAAACTCGGCCACCCTTCGGTCTACATTAGGCCGAGTTTTCGAGGTTCTACTTGTAATATCAATTACATTTAATTTAGTTGACAGATTTAAAACTGTCAATTCAATTGATCAGAATCTTACAACAGAGAAAAGTCTAATTTATATGATTTAGATTTCAATGAAACGAGCAATTATTTATTATGGCATCGTCACAATGCCAAGATCCAATTTCAATCACATTTTTATGTATTTAATTTAAAATATATGCTCTTTATCTCAAATTAATAGTGGCTTGCCTTTGTATATTATACTTTTCCTTTGAGAATGGAGTTGTGCCGGTCATTTATTAACTGTTTTCCGAAGAAAAGATTTTAATTGAAATAACGTGACTTTCGATCTTCACCAAAAGTTCGTACACAGTTAATCGGTGTCTCGTGTTTCTAATCTTTTTATATTCGTTTGTTTTTGGGATTAAAGACTGACACAGACTGACGGCAGTGAGAATTTTTAGGTCTAAATTTTTTTTTAAATTACATCCTAATTATATGATTAAATTCAATTTGTTTAAATAAATAGCGAAATAGCCTGCTGGTATTTATTTTATTGTTTTTATCTATATATGCCTGTGATATTCTGAAAACAGTGTTTTCCCTTAATCAGTTAATGGGTGCTCAAACTGGGATGTATTGCTACTTTTCACAGGCCCTAAGTTTTTAAAGTACTAATCATATGTATCTATAAATAAAACTTATTTCTACTTTCAAAATTCAGCCCTTTGCCATTTTATAATAATTAATAATATAAACCAATTGTAGCATTTTTTTGATAAAGTTCCGTAACCCGTTGTTGGATTTTGTTTCTTTACAAATCAAACTCAAAATAATTATGTGTAATATCATAGCATTACACATTTTTTCTTGCTTATGAGAGCCGGTTCCACAATGAATATAAATTATCCATCATTAACAAACTCGATACATAAACATATAACTCATAAGCTCTATCCGAGTTATTTTTTACCTTATTTACTAAGTACTTGTGCATATAATATTTATTTTAGAGTAAAGCATAGCTGTATTAATCACGCAGTAAGTGCAATCTGTTGACCTATGTACTAAGCAATATGTGTTTCTAAGGAATGTTGGAATGCCATGAGGAGAAAATATTTCTTGATTCAGAATGCACATGAAAATAAATTTTTATACACTTAGACAACACTTATACACTACTTGCATTGAAAGAAGTGTGAGCTGTTGGAAAGGTTGGAAATTCCGCTTTTTTCCGGCAACAGGTGGGTGATTTACTTTCTTGTCAAGGATGGCGTTTACGTTCTGTTACGCGTTACGCGAGCGGAGGAACGTCAGAGAGGTCGACGATAAGACGATGGCACAGTCAAATAAAGACACCATTTTTTTCTAAACAAACTGTTTATTAAAGTCAACAAAGAAAACAAAGGTTTCTAACACTGTACTGGTACTTCTAATTCGCGAATGAGAGCGAGAGTTTACAATAAAGCGTTCATACCTCCGGCGAACTTATCGGTAAGGATTATTCTTCGGTAAATGGGCAAAATGGGTCCTTCCAGTTTCGGAATAGATCTGTCGATTAAGCAGCGTTGATTTCCCTTCATTAACTTCGAACGACTCCCCGATCAGCGACTTTTCCGAGAGAAAAAAGAGGAGGGCTTTTATACTTTTTGTGGTGGGAAAATTAGTCAGGTGATCAATTGTTTTAGCAGGTGTGGGGTTAAAAGTAATGGTGGAATGGCAACAATATGACGAATTTTGCCTGTAAGTGTAAACTATACACGGATTCCTCGTGAGAGTGTTTATATTAAGACATAAAATTCCCACAGATTTTATATTTCGATTTCGTACGTAAGGAATAAATTTTTATTATAAAATTAATTAAATTTTGACTCTCACAGAAGTATTTATTGCATATACATTTATGTATTATATATGAAACGAAGTGTGAGGGAGTTACATGCAGATACGTAACTCACTGTACAGTACATTGTACAGTACATACGATAAGACCCCGGTTAATGAGGGGGATGCGTTTCTAAACGTTTCTAAACAAAGCGCTAAGCGAAACAGCGTTAAACGAGGTCATTTTAACACAGAGAAAATATAGGAACACGCGACCGAAAATAAACAAATTTTACTTTAATTTTAAGTTATTTTTATATTAATTTGTATAATAATATATGTTAAATAACAGATAATCACATGCACACAAAAATGTAAACTTCATTTTTTGTGATGAAGGTCCTAACTTTTCTGAAATTTTTGTTCTTTTGCAATAAAGTCGTGAAGTTTCATTTGTCGCTTTTTTCTTTCCTGAAGCAACTGCCGTAAGCCACAGATCGCGTCCAAAACGCCTCGTTTTGCTTTTGCATTCCTTTCAAAATATGGATTATTCCCTACAATTTGATCAACGATTTCGGTTATCGTTACGAAACTTTTACTAAAGAAATCTGTAGAGAAATTATTTTGGGTTTTTCGTTTTCAGAATCTCTATTTTTTCAGTTTCACATGAATTCCCCGTGCTGCCAGTTCTTGAAGGTTGTCGGTGGTAAAGCTCTCACCAAAAACCTGCTGTAACACCTCAATATCCTGTTCGTCTACATCTCCTATTCCCGCAGTATGGATTAGGTTGTTTGGTCAACCTAACGATACAGCGATAGGCTCTTTTCGTTGAGAATTTGTGGATACCTTGAGCCATAACTTGTTTCACACTGCGTTCGTGCATTTATCAGTTAATTCTTCCAAGCGAAGTCGATATTTCCTATGGCATCCATGATGTTATATTTTTCCAAATTTGCACCAAACAAACATAGATTTAAAGTACATTTTTTGCCACCTTTTGGCGATTGGTTTGTGTTTGCAAATAACCGTATTATATACGAATTAATGAAATGCCGCGATAATTTAAATCAGCGTAAATTTTTTAGGCATCGAGAAGACCTCGTTATATCGAATCAGCATTAAGCGGGGTCTTACTGTACTGTACTGTACTGTACGTCTGAATTTTCAGACATAAAGTTATCAAAGTCGACAAATAGAATTTTGTAAGGTATTTTTGTGCTAATGGATGGTCAGAATGTCCAGAAATGGGAAAACACCGGAATATTTAACTTTCATTAACATAACTTCTTTGTGATATATTACATCTACGAGATTAAATTGTAAATTTGGTCGTGTGTATCTTCAGTAGGGCCGGATATATGACAAGTTTACTTATTTTCTACTTTACAATTTTTTATAAAATTTATCTTTATCCTCAAAATCGAGCTTTTTTTAAATTTAATAATAGTTAAAATATAAAAATATTTTAAACAAAATATTATAAGATACGGTGCCACACGTAGTTTCAAATGTTTCCGGAAAAGTTACGCATTCGTTGCTGGTCTATTTAATAACGAAAAAAAGTTTTTAATCGTATTTATTATAATTTGTATCACACATCATACAATTCGCTGTGACTCATGGTTAGTTTTCGGCTTGTAGTCAGAAATAAATGATGTAGTGAAACAGGTAATTTTTGTTATGTTAATTAATGAAAATATGTTCATTTTATAATTTTAGTTTTTCTTAGGTAGTTTTTGTGTTAAAAAATTCTAATTTCGACTACAGATATCAAGAAAGAAGAAGTAAAAGAGAATTTTGATGTAAAACATGGAATAAAATCAGAATGTAAAGTTGATTTGAAAAAATTGAAGATCGAAGTAAAGACTGAAGATTGCAAAGAAGATGTTCATCTCCCAGATGATAATGAACATGTAATGGTAAGTAACACAAATTTCGAGATATTTAACAGTGAAATTTCAATATTAACTTAGGTTTTCGAATAGTTGAAAACTAGTGATGCAACGAATAGTATATTCGGCCAGGAGCATGGCCGAATAGCCGAATATTCGGCTTCATTAACGCACGTACGAAAATTGGCTCGCGAATCGCATTATAACAAGCACCCTGCTCTCTATTGGGCCGCTGTCACTACGCTTCGTTAATCGCGTTAATTCTTGACAGTTGTAGCGGACAGACAAGAGTGTCACGGCAGTATGTGATAAATGATGATATCAAATGTGAATAACAATGAAGTGACCTATACGTGTAAATAACGGAGAAAGAAGGGAGAAGGACCGCGAAGTGAAAATGTGAAAATAAATATGAAATTGAGTTGATAACATGATCGAACGAGTCCAGGCAGCTTATTGGCGAGAAATTGTCGGCCGTCAATGCGAAACAATCGTTGTCGTAGACTTCGGAAAGCTAAATGCTTGTAATGAAAGTTATTTAGCGTGCACGGGCGAAAGCCCGCGGCCGTTCGGGCTACCAAGCTGTCTCGAATCTGTGAAATCATAACTGTGACTTATACCGACGTCCTATCTGTCTCTTTTCTCCGTTATCACCAGGCTATGAGTCACATAATTGTAAAATGGGAACTCCAGGACGGAAAAGTGACGA